ACATCCCTACTGGATGTGCAATACTTTACGCACACACATTCTGCTTTCTTTTTAATCTCTTCAAATTTTTTTTTACATTTAAACCGCACCTTAAGGGTTTTTGCTTTGATAATTTTACTGTCAGTAAACTGCGCGGCGGCACTTAAAATTCTGGAATCTTGAAACCGCATTTTTACTGCTGTTCATTTTACTGCTGCTGAAATTGTGTACACCGAAAAGTACAGTAACTGCCGTAAAAAAAAAAAATGACATTCATATTCTGAAAATATATAGAAAACGACACACAAACTTGCATTATTTCTTTATTACTTCAAAACATAAGTTAAAAAGTCAATTATACTAAGAAAACTAAGACATTATATATAGTAAAGAAATTTGCAGATTTACAATTTTTTTTTAATTATTAAATATATGAAATATGTTAACAGATGAGTCCAACAGCACTTGAAAAACGTATAAAATGACTTACAAAATAAAAGCACAGAAACATACAGGCTCAATGTTAGCTAACAACACTTGAAACATTGGTAAACTCGGTCAATTATCCAAGTCTAAACATCCAATTCTTCTGCTATATCCTGTAGGTTACACAGAGAGGATCTGATTGTCCTCACACTAGACCTCTGGACTTGAGGTGAATATTTACAAACAGCTACAGCAGCGGCACCACTGGACCACATGACTGATCAGCCTCTACTTTATGCACCAACAGCTTTAATCGATTCTCTTGAGTTCAGCTTTGAGCTGAATCGTTATGTTGAGTGTGAGGTGATGTTCAGGTCCAGATCACTGTGCCTTGCTGCAGTGAGGCTGCAGGTCATGCCACAGTTCAGTCAGGAATTTTACTGCTGCGGCAGTTCGGTCTGAACTTGGCAAGATTTGCGAGGAAAAGAGGGACGAGAGTTGGCGGTGGTACGTAGACACTTGAATCCGTACTGTAAAGGGACGAGAGTTGGCCCGTACGTAGACACTTGAATCCGTACTGTACCTTACACGTACACTGTGACTTACATAAACTTAGAATTAACTTAACTTATGTTTTT